TTCACCTTGCGCACGTAGACGTCGTGCAGAGGGTAAATGGACTGACAGGCCTTCTCGATGTCCTTGCCAATGCTGTCTGGGATCCTGAGGAATCACACAGCACCACAATGCTAAAAGCTCTGCCTGCTTCTGCAGCAGCAACACAGGCTTAGAAGAATCCTTAATACAAAATATCCTACAAAAGTTTACACCATCACATCGACAACTTTCAAGTACATTCAGAGTCTAAGACACCTCCCCTGCTGACAACTTTCTTCAAGTACATTCAGAGTCTAAGACACCTCCCCTGCAATGTTAGAAGGGACATAGTGCAAGTGTGCTCATTTTGAGAGCAAATCTGCAAACTTCTGGAAACAATCAGAGAAACTCTTCTATCAGAAGAGCTCAGAGCATTCACAGCCCCAGCAGATCAGAATTATGACTTTAGTCTGCAGAAATGTGAGCCACAAATCTTCTGGAAAGCTATTTTACATTTATGCAAATGTGACAGTGGATTCAGGTCAGACGGGATGCAGACTAGGAGCAGCCATTTGCAGAAAAGGGTGATTGGCATTTCCATACAAGGGGCTCCTTGCCTGGGATGCACCAGCACTCCCTGGGCACTCAGCAACAACCCACCCCCAAACCAGGATTTAAACCACAGGGGAGAAGAAAAGAACAGGGCCAAAGCTTACAGCTTATTGACAACTTCCTTCAGGTCATTGGTCTGCACCTCCCGGGTCATGATCTCCATCATTTTCTTGCGGATCTGCCGGACCTGCTGGTGCTGGGCGTAGGAAGTCTTGCGGATCTGGTTGTTGCGCTTCTTGGTGAAGCCCACGCAGAAGAGGCGCAGCAGGTACCCATCTGTGGTTTTGACATCCACGTGGGCCTCGATCATCGTCTGCAAGAGGCAGCAGTGAGCATTTAGCACCCTGCAGCACAGGCTGCCCGCCCCACGCGGCTCTGCCAGGCGCCAGCCTCCCTCCCTCCCTCCCTCCCTGAGGCACGCAGACCTTGCTTCCCACACACCTGCCATTTCTTGACCATGGAGCACATTTTGTCCCGGGTCAGGTCCATCCCGTGGAAGTTGGTCAGGCAGTTTTTGCCCTGAACATCCTCGGTGATCAGTTTAAATTTGCGGAAGGCAACCTCGTCATTCTGCAGATCAGCCAGGCTCACCTCGAACACGCGGCCCTTCAGCCCGTCGGAGGCAATTTCTGTCAGATGGAACAGAGTAAAACACCTCGGGTTAACATCAGAGGCACATCCTGCAAATCAGACACTGAATGCCCTCGGGAATCCCGTTCTCTGATGTTTTTCAACAGCCATCACAGAGCCAGCAAGGCTGGGAATTTCTCCCTTTGGGAGGAATCTCCTCAAGGCAGTAGCAGCAGGTGTGGGATGTGAACAGCAGCACGCAGCAGATTCCACCTCGTGTAATGATTTGGTTTGTTTCAAGCATAAAGGGGGTACAGAGTGTTTGGAAATTATGAGCACTAATGAGAGAACCAAACACAAGAAGCCACAAGTGCTCAGCAGAGATGAAGCAGCAATGACCAGCCCAGAACAGTCATTTCACAGCTCCTCCTCCAACCGGCTGGTTCACACTTCGTTTGGCAGTGACCCTCACTGGATTTGTTTCAGTGTTACAGTTCAGAGTAACACTCACCATCCCAGCTCTGCTGAGCCATTCTGCACGGCTAAGCTTCCGCAGAGTAACACTCACCATCGCAGCTCTGGGTGCAGCCAGCAGGGTACCACACAGCTGCTGAGCCATTCTGCACGGCTAAGCTTCCAAAAACAGGGTCACCTCTATCCAGACACCTCTGCATCCCTAAGAGAAGTCCCCTCTTCCCGAGGTGTGCCACATGATATAAAACCGAATTTACCCTCCTGTGACACATCAGTGCTCACAATAACCCAGCAATTCTGGCTCTACTCTTTACCCAAAACCTTTAAGTTTCAGGTATTTCAGTATCTTCACGTGCTGGTCGTTATGATCCCATTAGGACTAAGGTGTCCTGTGGGACTGTCCCACACCTCCCCTGTGGCAATCACAACCACGGCTTACTTCTTGAACTTCTCCCAGCGTGCCAGGTTACCACAGGAGGAGCTCATTAGAAACCTCAGGCCCTTCCTTCCGTGGCTTGGCATTCTTGTGCACACAAGAGCCCAGTGCACGAACTTCCTGCAGCTAAGCTCATTTATCCAAACAACTCGGTCAACTTAAAAAAAACCAACAAAACCCACTCAAATCACCCAACTTTTTTAGCTTCCAAGCTCGTAACAGCACAAGCAAACCCCACTTTCCAGCAGCCCTTTATCCAAGAGGTTCTTTAGCCGCCCGGAGCCAGCACAGGGAGCAAACACAGTCCCGTGTGCTGCCCCAAGGCCAGGCACTCACTCGTTCCTTGGGTCCTGGTGACGAGCGTCTTCCCGATGTTGCGGATATTGAACATCGCCGGCGCTTTCACATCGTACCAGTCCTTCTTGGAGAAAGGGTCGACCCTTAAATCAAACGGAGGAGATGTTTTAAGCGACTTTCTCAGGCCACACCGTGCTGCGGCGAGGCTCCCGCCCGCCCGCCGCCATGACAGCCCGGGCCCTGCTCGGGCCGGGCCGCCGCCGCCATCCGCCCCGCATCGCCGCCATCCCGCCGCCCCCGGCGCCCCCGGCACCGCCCGCCCGCGCCCCGGCGGCGCTCACACTTTCTTCTTGGCGCCCTTCTTGCCGCCCTTGGTGAGGCGCTTGTTCTTCCCGACCGCCATGGTCCGGCCCGCGCCGCGGAAAGGGCGGGCCGCGCGCGCTCCCGCGAGATTATACGAGAGCGGCGCTCGCGCGAGACCTGCGAGAACGGGACCGCCTCCAGCGCCGGGGCCGGGGGCGGCCCGCCCGGGACGTACCACGGCGGGACGGAACCAACGGCGCGGGGGGGGCGGGGGGAGCCGCCGCACGTCAGCGCCCCCTCCTGGAGCCCCGCGGAACGCCCGGCCCGGCGCTCCCGCTCCCAATCCCGATCCCGATCCCGCTGAACGCCCGGCCCGGCGCTCCCGGTCCCCGCGCCCCGGAAATGGCGATGCCCGAGTGGGGATGCAGAGCCACGGGGACGGCGTTCGGTGCACCGACTGTCCCCCGGCAAAAGGCAGGTGCCACCCCTGGCCATTCGGATGTCTCCGAGCTGGATTATGTGTCCCCAGGCTGAACTGTGTCCTCTGGTATTTTCGACGGTGGAAGTGGCCTAATGAAGAACTTTGTGTTTCAAGCATCACCCAAGAGTTCCGTCATACAAATGCTTGTCACCTTTAGTAAACGTAACTGGTGTCCTCTGGTATTTTCTACGGTGGAATTGCTTAATGAAGAACTTTGTGTTTCAAGCATCACCCAAGAGTTCCGTCATACAAATGAATATACAGCGATAGATGAGGAATATGCATTGGACAGGCGGGCTCATGTAAATTTTACTGTATAAAAGACATTACTTTTTACCCCATGGTGTGTTTGATTTGTCAAACCTCCACCTTGCATCCTGTGCAGAATAATTAATATCTCTTCTAAACTGGACTCTGTGTTTAGAGAGCTCCTAAAATCTAAGAAAGGCTTTCCCAGGCCTTGGGCACCGAGGGGACAGGCAGAATCTGGTCTGGGCTGCCCCAGTTGCCCCAGCCCATGGCTCCTCTCCCCAGCGCACAGGGCAGGAGGAGGCTGTGCATGGGCATGGGCACGGATGGCACATGGAAAAGCTGTGCCCAGGATAGCACCAGGCAGTTGGGATCCCCCTGGAGAAGAGGTGACACAGGCTGTGGCTCACCAAAGAGCCTCAGAGCAGCCTCTGGCCAGGATGTGCCTGGGCTGTAGGATGGGATCCAGCACAGGTACCTGCACCATGCCTGCTAGAGACAGCCAGGCATCCAGGCTGGCTCATCCTCCTGTGAGTGCCATCCCTTCTGCACCCACAGCAGGACAGTGGAAAGCAGAGTGTCCAAGGGGTCACGTGAGAGTCCCCATCCTACCTCCATGCCTACGAGCAGGATATTGAGAGTCAGCAGGGGCTGTGCTGACCTTCCATGGCTTTGAGGTTTTGGCCAGGTGCCTGAGCTGTTCCCACTGTAGGGACTGTGTACCTTTGACGGTTTCTTCAGAGGCTGTAGAAATGCCACCAGAGCCCAGGGCAGGGCCCTCTGGCCAGTCTTGGAAGTGTTACAGCTCTTTTAGGACAGGTGCTGCCCAGGACCTCATTTTCTCTTTGCCACTTCCCATCAGAGTCTCTCTGATGTTCTTCGAAGAGGAGGATGGAGACACTTGCACCCACTGACAGCCTCTCCTGGGCACTGCATGCCTCTCCCCCTGGAGGGGACATGCTTTCCTTGGGGCTCCATTACGGTGGTCAAGGGAAAGGAGTGTTTGGTGGGCTCAGGCTGGCTCCTGGCTCTGTGCTTGTCTCTGCATCAATGGAGCAGCTGGGAGCGTGGGAGGGAGCAGTGAGGAAAATGCATCCTGGCACTTCCCGGGAGTGTGAATTTGCCTGCAACGGGACACAGGGGAAAGGAGCACAGAGGCCCCTTAGCACTGCAGAGGAGCCATGGATGTGCCACATCTTTCAAGGGTTGTAGGAACGCCTGCCAGCTGCCCCAGAGGTGATGGTGACATCCTGCCCGCCACCAGGAAACCACGTGTCTTGTCCTGCCACCCAAAAGGACCCAGGTTTCCTGCCTTTCATGGGACAGGTGGCCAAGGCCAGAGTGGGCAGGGGCCACCCAAGGGGATGTACAGACATCACGTGGTTCGTTAATGACTGCCTAATGACCTTGGGGGCCATGAGGGCAAGCAGGGCCTCCTGGACACCTGGCTTCCCCCAGACGTCCACTGGACTTTGCTCTTTACCCTGCCCCTCCTCCTGGATCCTTGCCCATTGGGCACAGCTGGGGCCAGTATAAAAGAGGCGCAGAGGAGTGGGAGGGATCCTGGAGACCCTGAGGCCATAAGGGAAACTGAGGCACACACACAGGTGCGGGTGAAGGGTGCATCGGGGACCAGAGTGTCTGTGGGAGGGGTCTGTGAGGAACCCAAGCATCCGGTGGGGAAGGGCGGCGGTGTATGGCATCCGGCTGTGGGGGCACGGGCTGGGTCTGTAGGGGAGCCAGGCTCTGAGGAGCAGGTAGGGGCTGTTCCATGGGGGACTGAGGCTTGTGGGGGCCGCATAACTTTAGGGGACCCATGCATCCAGGTGAATCCACAGATAGCCCAGCTGTCCAGAGGGGATTTGCATGGGACCCAGGGATTTGGGAGGGGGAATCTGTAGAACAACCAAGCGCCCCGGGTGGGATTTCCAGCTGGGGGCCCAGACGGCATTCTTGTACACCCCCACCTTCCCCAGGTGTCCATGGCGGGCTGGGTGCTGTGCATGACCCTGGTGCTGGTGGCACTGGCGGGGGCGGCGGGCGAGACCCGCTACGAGAAGTTCCTGCGGCAGCACGTGGACAACCCGCGGACGTCCACGCTGGCGGCGCATCGCTACTGCGAGACCATGCTGGCGCGGCGGCGCGTGACGGCGCCGGGCAGGCCCTGCAAGCCCTCCAACACCTTCGTGCACGCCCCGGCCGCCGAGCTGGTGGCCGCCTGCTCCCAGGCGCCCGACCCCGCCACGGGGTTCCACAGCACGCCGGGCGCCCTGAGCCTCACGGCCTGCCGCCTGCGCGGCGGGGACACGCGGCCGCCCTGCGCCTACCGCGCCCGCCAGGCGCAGCAGCACGTGCGCGTGGCCTGCCGCGACGGGCTGCCCGTGCACCTGGCGGGCACCTACACGGTGTGAGGCTGGCAGCGAGCCTGGCACGGCGCTCCCCTGGGCCCCCGGCGCGGAGCCTGCCTCCCCTCGGGGGCTCTGTTGGTGCTGGCAATAAAGGAGGTGTCAGAGGCCTGGGCTCCAGCATCGGCTTGTGGGGGGGACCCTGCGATCATACCCCGCCCTGGGTGCTCCCTGAGCCCCTTGGGCGACCCCAAGTCTATCCAAGCTGTATTTGGCGCCCATGTGCCTTATAAATCCCTGGTTTCTCCAGCCTCCTGGGTGTCCCATTGCCCCCTGGGGTGTCTCTGCCCTCTCCCCTTTCTTGGGTGTCCCACAACTCCCACGGGTGCCCCATAACCACCACCACCCTCCCAGCCCAAGGCCCACCAATCTCCTGGATGTGCACCCAGCCCTCTCCCCAGTGTCCTGACCATTTGGGTGTCACAGTGCTTTCCTGGATAGCCCATAACTCTCACAGCATTTCCCAACCTCCCACATGCCTTATGACCCCCCTGGATACTCCCAGATTCCCCCATGCCTGCCCCATAAACTGTCAGACACCCCATCTCCCTCATGCCTCTGACCCCATCTGTGACCTCTCTGGGGCTCAAGCTGCTCCTCCTTGGGCCCCCACAGGACAGAGCCCTGGCTGGGGCCACACAGTGCCCTGAGCCACCATCCCACACACACTGAACACAACACACACACAGGGCACACGAAAACCTGCACTGGGCACGCAGCATGCAGCCACACTCACAACACAAAGCATTCAACACTCACAGCCCTGCTCCTGGCACAGCACACAGCATTAGCACACACAGGACACACATGCCACCACACACACACATACAGAGGCTGTGCTCCTGTCTCGGTGGGATTTCACAATTTCAGTTGTGTTCATCACCTCTTGTCCTTCATTCTCCCTGTCAGTACTTACCAGTACATTTAAAAGCTCCCTCTGTCTGAGCCTTCTCTTCTCCAGGCTGAACAGTCTGTGCCCTCTCAGCTCCTGCTCTGGTCAGACTTGCTCCAGTCCCTTCATCATCATCAATTCCTTGCTGGACTCTCTCCAGTATGTCCATGTCTCTCATGTACTGGGGAGTCCACCACTGGATCCAGCACTCCAGGTGTGTCTCAGTGGTGCTGGGCAGAGGAGCAGGATCACCCCCCTGCACGTGCTGGCAGCACTCTGCCTATTGCAGCCCAGGGGGCTGGAGGGTCCCTTTGCTCTGGTCCTATTGCTGTGGGAGCCCTGAGAAGTCCCATAGGACTGCTGACATCCAGGAGCTGTGCTGCTACAAAAAGGCAGCCCAAATGCATCCAGAAAGTGTAGCTGAGGAGGAAAAGGAGTGTAGGAAATGGTATTCCCAATCCTTTTCCTCTGTCCCCAGGATACCTCTTGCTCATGTGCCTCCAGTAACTCAGGTGCTCCTTTTCTGAAACTCAGGTGAAAGGCATTTTGAGGGCCATCCCTGGACTGGTGAACTCCACCAAGGCCCAGTGAGGGGAGCACTACTCTTTGTGCACTGGGAAGGAATTAGGGTACTTCAAAGGTATTTGGAGCATTTCTGGACCAGCAACTTAGAGCAAACTCACTTCTCCACCCTGCTCACTCATGGCCATGGGAGGAGCTGACAGGCTCAGGAGGGAATACCCAGGGTCTCTGCAAGTACAAAGGTTTGATCTCTGCCTCTTGCTACCTTGGTTCTTCAGGACTTACAGGAGGATTCCAAATCTCCACTTGTTCTCTGGTAGCTGAGATCATCCTGGCAGTGGCAGAGAAAAATATCATCACTGTGATTTACCCTGCAAGCTTTGCACTACAGGCTCTGAAGTGCATGGGAGAGGTGGGACCCATCCTGGGGACACAGCTCTGAGCTGCAGTCCCAGAACAGCAGTGCCATTTCTGGGATGCCCAGCATGCTGCAGCTACCTGAGTCTGCTGGAAAGTCTGGATGATTCCTGGCATCTCCCATTTGATGGCAGGGCAGCTCCACCACTTCAGCACAACCCATCCCATTATTGCACTGTTGGTTCACTCCTCTGCTGTGTTTTCTCCTAAGACACAGCTTTGTTTCTTCAGCATATGTTTATGTCTGTTCTTTGTGAAGGCTAAAGGGAAAAAAATAGCCACAAAGGAATCAAGATATCCAGAGGTTGTTGTGCCCTTTGCCACAAACAGCAGTGGGCCATTTACAGGCAGCAGTCAGCAAATTTGCAATGTTAGCAAGCAGCAAAAAGCCAGGGAGCAACTGCTGCCTGAAAATAAAGGAAGGAATTTTGCAATAATATGTTTTAATAAATCAGTGCATTTATTTCCTAATTGGTTCCTCATTTAGGTAATTTCATGTCCTGCCTAACACAGTCAAATGTAAAGTTGTGAGGTTTGTGGTTGATTCTGCTTTGTAACACAGAAACTGATCATCTCTGCTTTGTGGGTGGGAGTTAAGCAGCTTTCCTAAGGTCACAGAAAAGTCTGAGAGGAGCTCAGTTCAGACCTCCTCGGCTCTATTTAACAGCCTCCCTTCTCATTTATGTGCTTTTTATTTTCTGAAGAAAAAAAAGATGCAACTAAAAATGTTTCAAGACAGCACTATATGCCTAGAACTTGTCTCTGAGTCATATCTACTTGACTTTCATGCCCAGACTTTGCTTTGACACTGGTCAGCCTGCTCTGCTCACTCAATTTATTGTCAAACAATTAATTCCTTCACCAGAAACTGGCTGTTGCTTGTTTAGCACAGGGGAATGAAACAAATAATGCTGAATCACGCACTTCTTTATGGCTCACAAGCCCAGCCTTTGATGATATAAGATGAGAGGCATGAGCAGTGTGTCAATATTTCCAGTGGTACTGTGGAAATTTGTTCCTGCTCCTTGAAAAGCAAGGGCATTTTTTTTTCAGAAGCATAGCAGAGAATTGCTTAAGCAGGCACTGCAAAGACCTTCAGAAGTATTTGCTCAGCAAAGTCGTATATCAGCTCCATGGGTTTGGCAGAACAAGTCCCGTGAAACCAGGCTGTTGCATGCATGCCAAAATTGACATGGAAAAAGCTTCTTTCCAGCTTGCTTGCTCTAAAATACGCCCTGCACAAATACAGCAAAATACAAGACAGTTTCTGTGCAGCCCATCCACCTTTCTTGTGTGCTTGGACACTGGGAAGGGGGCTGCCAGGCTGCCTGGGAGCACGAGACCAGCAAACACCCCTTTCCCCCTCCAGCAATACCTCTGAGATCCTGGGGTGTGTGCTGCTCCTGCAGCCACTGCTCCTCAGCACTGTCCCTGTGGCACATGGACCTCAAGCTGAGTTCCCATTCAGACATATCCTGCAGTCCTCCTCCCCCTGACTGGGTGACACACTTGGCCCCCAAGGTGCAGGGTCATCCCTGTCCCCTGCCACACAGGGAATGATCCATGCCCTCCACCCTTCTTGTAGAGGTTCCTGGCCATGGGGACAAGAATGCCTGCTAGGAAAAGGTGAGCTGCTGCTCATGGCATGGTGGGGACAGCAAAGACAAGGGGGCCATAGGACAGCAAAGTCCTCAAACTCAGCTGTGGTACTCAGCTGAGGCTTAGGTGTCACTTTCCCCACAACAGCTACACAACAGAAATCCCAAGGCACTTCTCCAGTTCAAGTCTTGGCCCCAAGACCTAAAACCTAGGCTGGAGAAGAAGCATGAGCTACCATAGGGGAAGTAACAGGAAAGCCAGGAGCTAAGAATTTCTGTTCATATGAGACCAAGAGGCCACCACCCAACCTAAAAAAAATATAGCTGAAAAATACTATTGTTGGCCTCTGGTCTGCTGGGAATGCTGCTGCAAGGTGCCAAGACCAACATCAGAACCAGACTCAAGTGCTCAAACTCAAGGTAAAGAGTTTTGATCATGTTAACACCTTACACCATGCAGGTCCTGTGCCAACACCTGTAACAGTATTTGTCACTAAAATGAAACTCAGCATGCAAAATGGATCCAGTCTCATGTTTTGTGGGCTGGTGGAATGTTTGGCTACCTCTTGAGTCCCACTGAGTACCCAGCTAAAGGTTTGCAAGCACTTGCCTTGTAAATTATCTCCCCCTTGCCAGCACAACATGGATCTGTCATGGCCAGTCCCTGTATCCTTCAGTGCTCTCCTGCAGAGCTGCCACTCTCTTCCCTACATTCATGCTTAAAAATTGAGTCATCTCTTCATCTTATCTCAGAAAAACATGCTAGGCTCCTTCAGACAGGTTCTCCAGCCCTTTCATCACTCTGCTGGCCCATGTGAGACCACATGCAGCAAGTCAGAGCCAGACCTTCCAGAGTGCTGTGCCCAGGATGATCCACGGGATGGACAGTGGTTCCCAAGCCAGAGAGCTCCTGCTACCTGTACCAGAGGGAAGTGGACCCAAAAGTCAGATGCAAAAAAGCCAATGTGTAAAAAATTCCCAGCGGTCGCAGTTGGAGCCATCCCACATTCTTCCAGCAGGCAGGGACGTGCACAGCCTCCTCCCTAAGGGGATCAGGGGAAATTCATTGCAAATGGGTGCCCAGCCAAGGAACTATCCCCTCCCATCAGCAGCAACCATAGCCAAACAGATTAGAAAAAAAAGAAAGATCCAGGTGAGAAGCCTGGAAAGGATTCACAGAAAGTACATAAAGTGTCAAGAAATCCTGGGGAATTAAAATTCCCCAAAAGACCAGGCTGTGTCTGGAAGTGAATCAAGGCTGGAGGAAGGTGCTCATGATATCTCAGCTAGTGACATCCTGTCTCACATAAGCTGATGCTGGGCTCTCTCCAAATGTCCCAAACTTACTGCTTCTCCAAAGGCTGCAGAACTGATGTCAGGAGCAGGGCACTCATTTCTGCCTCATGTTGGGGTGGAAAAGTAAAAGAAGCTCACAACTGCTGAAAAATCTTTTTTCCTCAGCAGCACCACCTCTCTCCCAATCTGAGTGTCTGCTCTATGTCTGGATGGAGGGAAAGCGGCTGAAGGGAGCCAGCCAGTTTCTCCACCTTTCATTGTGCTGCTCCTGCATCCCATCTGTTGGAGAAATGTGCTTGTAGTGCACCCAGCCCTATGCATTTCTAATTCAAAGACCAGCAGCAATAAGACCTGGCTGGCCTGCAGTGGCCCCAGCCTTTCACG